GTCGGAGAGAATAGACACTGATTTGGGCAATTGTGTTATTGTGTCCAAAGAAACTGATCTGGACTTGTTCAGTGTGAGTAACAGAAACTAATTTGTGCTAATCAACCACTCGAAAAGAAGAGTTTTTACAATACCTTATGTACATTCTCTTCTTCTGAGAATGGATAGTCAGCAAAATTTTGTTTGTACTTTATATGTAAGTGTTCTAAATTCCCCTACCTATAATTATTGAATGTTTAAGGTTTGTACATTTATCATATTAGATAAATGTACAATAATGATGTAAAAATATCAGTACTTACTGTAAAATGAATGACCAGGGTAACAGGAATGATCTATTACATGATTAACTGTTACTCCTTTAAAGAATGAAAAAAGACTACTAATAACAGATAATGATGAGCTATTAGAGTTCATTATTGAATAAATTACTTAAAAGTTAGATTATCATTGCTTCTATGCGAGTAAAACTAGGTAACAGTCACTCGTTCATCAGTTATCATGAATTCACCCACTTCTGAGAGATACAAATAATGACCTCACACTAGTAAAGACTTGTTTAAGCAGGACATCCGACTGAAGCCAACCATCCAGCTGGGAATCTTTTCTCTCTGCTGCAGGACAACAATTCCATGCCATCTCCACAAACAATATGTTGCTCTTCCTGAAATGTAATTAATCTGAAGCCGTTTCAGCGAGGAAAAATCTGTAGTTATATTTCGAGTGAAAACAAACTACCTTGAGAATTTTACCTGACCCAAAAAACATATAAACATGTAATCTAGTGTGAGTCATAAACTCAGAAATGGGGTTTAAAACTCAAAAAAAAAAAAGTTGTGCTGCTGGGGCCCGAGAGACTTGTTACACAGCTGCATCTGCTGCGCTCATAGGTGTGTAAAGAAAGGAACAACGGGGAATGGGCAAGACAGCACTGTGGAGGATAGTCTGTGTGATCAAGAGGAAATGCCACCCAGAGCCCAGGTCTGCTATCTGGCATGCCCCAATGACTGCGTCATGGCGCCCTGGGGACCTTGGAGCAACTGCCCTGTGGTAAGAAACAGAATTTAGTGGCCGTTTCTGCTGTTATTTGACAAATTGTCAGGGAGTAAGTTGCTTGATTTGTCGTTTTCATTTCAAATGTGTCCATAATAACAAATATATATTAATATATGAAGCATTTACAGTATAAGCTGCAGGTAAAAATGGAGAAATACTCAGCTAATCAAACAACGTATTTCATTATTGCCTTTTATTACTTCTAAAAAGTAAGGGCAAAAAACATGTATGTGCATTAAGTTCTGCATTTAACTATCAACTATCTGCTGTTAACAGGCTCACAAATGCTTAGATGAGCTTTAAAATTATTTGTGTCATTAGCAGAGATGGGCAGTAACGCGTTACTTGTAACGCGTTACTGTAATCCGATTACTTTTTTCAAGTAACGAGTAAAGTAAGGGATTACTATTGCGAAAACGGTAATTAGATTACTGTTACTTTCCCGTAGGAACGCTGCGTTACTGCGTTACTAAAACCGTGATTTTTGCTAGAATGTCTCATGACAGTGACGTAAGTGAGCGCGACGTTCGTGACAACAGCTGTGTGCAGATCAACA